CCCCAAAACCCCAAAACCCCAAAACCCCAAAACCCCAAAACCCCTTATAAAATAATAATTATTGAATACTGAATTATAATCCTAATCAAATTTGTTCATTGCCTTGATCCACTCCTCCATTTCGATAAGGCTCCTAGCTTTGAGGTATATCTTTTTTGAGCCTCTCATGAAGCCCTTCTTCCCTTCTGAGATTTCAAACTTGGTCTCTTTTTTAGGATTAATGGTGATCTTTCTGAGATTTAGAGTGAACACTGGATCTTTGTCAGCTCTTTGCATGAAGCCGTGCAGGAAACCTTCTGTTGTGATGATTCAGATCACGTCCTTCCAAGATTTCATAAAGCCAGGATCTCTCTTTAGAACACCTTCTTTTTGAATGAAAGTGGTCTGAGGGGGCTCCTTGAGTTTCATTGATTTTAAGTACAGCTTTACTTGATCAGTGGTAGCTGTGACAAAATCAATCTTCTCACCAAGAAGCTCCATAAGTGACGACATTGCTTTCAAGTCTTCATGAGAAAACATGTTCTTGAATCAGTAAATTTTAGAAGAGATGTCTTCATGATTCGCATCATTCATAAGCAGCTTCAGTTGTCTGCTCGCATCTGATACTATTGATGTCTTTTTAAAGTACTCGCTGTAGAGTTCCTTCATATTCTTGATCTTTATTTCCTCTGTAGCTTCTGCTTCAGTCCAGATGTCCATAATTTCTCTTCAGAACTCTCTTTCTCCATCAAGATGAACCTTGGCTGCGACTAGACAATGGTTCTCTGCCAACCAGAAGTCCTTGTCATAATGTCTGTGATGGTTCATTCATATCTCAGCTTCTGCAAGCATTGAAGAGAAGATGGCGAACACTTTTTCACATGTTTTCTCTTCAGCAGTTATCCTCTTCATTAATTTGCTAATTTTTGAGGTGAATATATCGATTTTTTGTATTTGGGTTTTAAACACCCCTCCGAGGGTCTCGTCGATTGTCTGCTTTATAGCTTTGGCAGACATCTGTCGATGAGAAATAAGGTCTCTCTCGTATCTCTCCAAATGCCCGCACATGTCAAGGTAGCCTTTGCCAAAATCTTGGTAATCCTTCTTAATATCAGATAGGTAGCCAACACTCTTGTTTAGGTGATCTGCATACGTTTTCTCCATTTCAGAAATTGTTAAGAAGTATTGTACCATTTTCTGAGATTCTCTAGCGGATTGTCTCATTTTCTCAATGACCTTCTTGTAGATAGTCTCAAGGATCTTCTTGTGAAGTCATAGGATGGTGGCTCTCTCCTCATACCAAGATTTAAGATTTACAAAGCCTATTTTCTTCTTACTCCAAAATTCTAATCTTTGGTTATGAAGTTCCTCTGATTTTGCTTCAAATTTCTGCTGTTCCTCTTGAAGATCTTTTTGTTCGATTCCTTCCTCTTGTTGACGATCTATTGGGTATAAACGCATGGAAAATTCTTACTTTCTTTATCATGTTCTTCTTCATCTACCTTTTCATCGTCTTGGTCGACTTCTGGGTCTTCCTCTTCACTATGAGTTTCTTTAGCTTCTTCTGATTGTCGAACGGCATCTTCTTTGCTCTCTTCTGGATGACTACTCCTTTGGGGCTGTTTCTGTTCTTCAAGATTGATTCTCTGGTCATCTTCTATTCCACTATCTTCAGTCTTGAGGTCTTCTACATCTTGTTGATTCTCTTGGCTTTCTCGAGTAAGAGGGTTAGGATCCCTAGCTTCGTAGTTATCCTCTGTTTCTTCTGCCTCTATGTGTTCTTGATTTTCTTCAACAGCCTATGTGAACGGTGATTTTCATGAGAAGGATTTTGAGTGAAGCAATAAAAAGAGTGAAAGGGAGGAATTTTGGGGTAGATAATTTTGATTTTTAGAGGTGCTTTTGTGATGGATGAGGGGTTTGTGGGTATTTACCTTAGGACTTTCGGTTCTCTTTTTGGGTACTGTGAGGTCTTCCATTTTGAATTATTATCTCTTCAACATATATTTTTGAACTAGGGGTTTTGGGGTTTTGGGGTTTTGGGGTTTTGGGG